GATTGCTGTGATAAGAGACAGCATGGTAGTAAAAGGGGCCAGAACATTTGAGTTCTAAGTCTCAGCTTTGCTGCTTATGAACTGGGTCATTTTACATGGAGCCCCACAGTGTCTTAGTTGATAGAAGCTCTGGAAACCCTCTTGTATAGCTTGCTCACCTTTTAAACTTACATTGAGGACATATTTTAAAGAATAATTTAGTTAAGTACTAAAGAGACAATTTACCATTGGATTAAAAGTGAGGGTTAGAACCAGATGTGTATAACTTAATGTCTACCATAAAGTAACCACCATGTTAGTGTTAGTTATAATTATTACAGGTTAAACATCCCTAATCCAAAAATCTGAAATCCAAACTGCTCCAAAATCCAAGATTGTGAGCAATGACCTCATGCTATAAGTGGAAAATTCTACAACTGGCTTCATGTGACAGGTGTCAAAATGCAGATGCATTAAAATATTGTATAAAATTACCTTCAGGCTATGTGTATAAGGTAAATTTGGGTCCCATCCTTAAGATGTCTCATTATAATATATGCAAATATTCCAAAAATCTGAAAAAAATCCAAAATCTGGAGTACTTTTGGTCCTAAGCATTTCAGATGAAGGCTACTCAGTCTGAATTGCTATATGAATTAGAATTCTCTAGGCCTCAGCTTCATTATCTGTAAAGAAGAATTGATACCTGAAGAAGACAAATTTTAGAATATTTTACTTTTTTCCAGGGCACTATCCTTTTAGAGAAACTTTTCTTTATTTTCTCCACTTAGAGGTTTATTGTTCCTTCAGTTATTTCAGAAATAGTTCTATAAAGTCAGAACTAGGTTCGAATTTTGCCTCTGCCTCTTCCTGGTCCAGAGTCCTTGATCAAGTGAATTAAGTGTTGAAATCTCATTTTTTCACCTGTAAAATGTAGGGGGGAAAGTAGGGTAATCACACCTATACATCCATATTGTTAAAGTTTTAGCAATAATGCCTTTGAATTGCCCAGAGCAGTGTCTATACCTTAATTGCTTCCTGAATGGGAGCTATTCCATGTTATAGAAAACTGGAAACAAAAACACAGCTCAGGGAGCCAGTTAACAGAGAATCTGTTCCAGGACTGTGGCAGCGAGGAGCAGAATACAGTTGGAGAAATCAGTAGTAGTCATCTTACCTAGCAGGCCTGCAGGTAAGATGTATGTAGGGTGTTCTTTTTTGAGTGGGCCAGCAGGTCGGTGGGGGTTATGAGCTACTAAAAAGTGTTTATGGGAAAGCCGAGAGGATATGAATGATAGGGAGTTCTGAGAGTCACAGTTAGACACTGGCATCTCTAAGTGGGAAGTAAATGAGTTATTGGACTTCTTTGTGTCAAGGGGCTTCAGAGTGACAGAGAGGCAGATCATCCTTCACTACCACCCTACCTCTCTAGAGAATCCACTTTCTGGTAAGTTACAAAAGCTCATTTTCAGGGTGAGGGCATGAAGTATGCATTACAGCAGGAGGAGTTGGAAGGAAAAGAATTATGTAGAGAAAGGGAAGTCAGCAAACAGATTTGTGGGAAACCTGGACTGAAGCAAGTCATATTTCTGCCTAGCTTTTTATTTTTTATTATTTATTTATTTTAAAAAGTAGTAGAGTTTTACTGAGAAGAGAGTGAGTGAGTGAAAGAAGGAAAATATAATGCCAAGGAATGGGGGGGGCAGGCTTAAGCAAAGTGGCTTAAGAGCAGTACCTGTAACTCAGGAGCAAGTAAAGAGCAGTTGTGCTCATGAGACCAAAGTTTCATGTTATCCTTTGAGAAACTGTGCAACTGCCTTTTTTTTTTTCTTTTTTAGCACTCAGGGCCTCATTCTTGCTAGGGAGGCACTCTTACTGCTTGAGCCATTCCAGCAGCGCTCTGCTTAGCTTTTTAGTTCTTTAAATCCACCCCTGTATTGCCTTTCCTTGAGGTATATGTTCTTTAAAAAAAAAACTATACTCAGGAGGCAGAGATCAGGAGGATTACGGTTCAAAGCCAGCCCAGGCAAATAGTTCCCGAGACCCTATCTTGAAAAAAACCAATCACAAAAAGGGGCTGCTAGAGTGCTCAAGGTGTAGGCCCTAAGTTCAAACCTCAGTATTGTGAAAAAAAAAAAAAAAAAAAAAAAAACCCAAAAAACAACAACAAAAAAACTAATCACCACTAGATGGCATATAGATCCCTGCACTACTCTACAGGTTGTCATTTTAGCTATTCTTTTCAAAAGACAAGCACTAATGTATTTTTTAAAACAAAATATGATGTGTAACCAATTTTTGTGTTTCATTTTAGAAAGGAATAAAGGATGAAAATAAAAATTGGGAGCCTATATGCAGTTGACCCTCCATAACCATTGGTTCCACACCTTGTATTCAACCAAATGCCAAACAAAAATAGTTGAGAGAAAAATACTGTGAGTTGGGCATGGTGGTACACACTAGTAATCCCAGCGTTTGGCAGGGGTAAAGCAAGAGGATAGTGAGTTTGAAGCCAGTCGCTGAATAGTCAGTTCAAGACCAGCCTGAACTACATACACATGAAGACCATGTCTCAAAAAAATAAAAATAAATTGTGTCTGTTCTGAAGATACACAAAGTTTGTTTTCTTGTCATTGTTCATAAGTATTTACACTGTATTAAGTATAAGTAAGCTGTAGCGGTTAAAGCATATTATAGGTTACAAATACTGTGCCATTTTATTTAGAGGACTTGAGCATTCATGAGTTTTGAAATCCCGGGAGAGGGTTCTAGAACTAGTCTTCCATGAATACTAAGGGATGACTCTATTTTGCGGACTCTGCTATAGAGAGGCCAGGTTTTGAGGTACATAATAATTAATGGTCTTTGTTCATATGTGGGCAATAGCCTAAGTTTGACCTATATGCATAAATGCTTAATTTATTGAGATTTTTTTAAAATGTAGCTTTCTAGTAAATATTTTAAAGGCAAGTAGTCTTTCCAAAAATAATAATATCTTTTCTTCTTTTTCTTTCTTAAGCACACTTGAAATTGTATCTCTTAGAAATTTGGGGGTTGTATTTCTTGCAGAATGTTACTTTGCTTTTAAGCAAATGTGCCTGATTATTACATTTCATGTGTGTTTTTGTATGTGTGTGAGAGAGATGTAGATGTAGGTTCAGTTAAAAAATGTACTAGTTATTTGGCTTATGAAGAGGAGAAGTGCAGAGAAGGGGAGGGAGGCAGAATATAGGACTTAACCTAGGTACCGCTCCCTCCCCTCACCCCACCAGCCAAAAAGAAAAGGAATTAGATCAGACCTTGTTGAACAGTGGTTACCCTCCTATCCTCCCTATACACCACTACCAAAAACGTGGCTTGGTTAGACAATCAGCTTCCCATAGTAGCAGCTACAAGTGCATCACAGCACAGTCTGTGCCTACCCGTTGTTGGGCAAACTCAGTCCGTGATAATAGTTGCATAGCTTTGTTTATAAACTATCAAACTAAATCCTTTAACTTTAGCTATTAAAGACCCTTCAAGAAAGAGAATTCATAATGAAGGTTTGTTCACTTGACATAACCATTTGCCATAAAGGGTATAAACAAGGCCCATTAGAACCTTGTTATCAGCCAGAAGCAGGCATGTGGCTATTAGCTGCCCCTTCTGAGTGGACTAGTTTCCTTGCTTTGTGTGCTCTTGTTTATTGAGGCTATTAAATTATTAGGCAAGTAACTAAAGTCTGTTTACCCTCACTTTCACCCCCAGTTATCATTATAGATACTTGGAGCAGTCCTTGTGTTGTATCCTCAGAGCTGCCTCAAGATTGCTCTGGAGGGGTCTTCATGAGAGAACTATTTTTCTTGTGTGCTGGCCACTATCTCTGTCCATCCCAGTATACTGCCAGTTGAGGGTATGATAGCAGGAGTAGGAGAATCGGGATAATACATAAGGGATCTGGGAAATCTGTGAAGATTAGTAACATTTGACTTAAGTTATATTCCTTATCCTGCCCTCACCATGATTTTGTTTTAAAGAACTAGCAGCCTCATACCTAGAACTGTTTGAGCAATGTATACTAAAACATTAGTTGTTAAAATATAAGCAATCAAAAACTAATTAACCACAACTATAAATTTCAAATATAAGAAAATTGTCAAATATGTTTTAATTTGCTTGTCATTTTAAAAGCTTTTGCTTAGTTTTACTTTGTATTATATTTTGCTAGAGTTCCTTTTTTTAAAAAAAAGAGAAGTAAAAATATTGTGAAAAAAAATTCAGGTCATTTTAGACATGTATAAATGCTTGGCATGTATGTACCTTGCATTACAGAGTATAGGTGGATCTGATGTGTAGGGTAACTTGAATTCTTCCATATTACAACTAAGACTTTGATCTCCATTCATCTATTAATAGGCATCTAGGCTGATTCCATAACTTGGCTATTGGAAATAGTTCTGCTATAAACATGGGTGTGCAGGTATTTCACTGTATGCTGACTTAGTTCTTTTAGGTGTGCACCCAGGAGTGATATAGCAAGATCATATGGTGGTTTTATGTTTTTGAGAAACCTCTATACTGATTTCTATAGTGTCTGGACTAATTTGCAATATCACAAACAGTATGTAAGAATCCCTTTTTTCTTGCATCTTTGTCAGCATTTGTTAGTTTTCTTTCCTTTTTTAAATTATAATATTACTATTGTACTGGGGGTACATTGTGATGTTTATAAAAGTTCTTAGAATATATCATAGTTGAATTCACCCCCTCGATCATTCTCCTTTAGTCTTCTCTTCCCTTATTTCTGGAATCGTTTCAACATGTCTCATTTGTTGATAACCATTCTCGCTGGGGTGAGGTAGAATCTCAATGTAGTTTTGAAAATCATCTACTTTGATGTTTTCAAGTTAAGAGCATTTTGTGAGGGTGGTGGCATACCAGGTAACAGATATCCTTATGGTTATTTTTTTGTCCTACACTATACTTCCAGTTATTTAATGCTGAATTTTAACCTAAGTTGTGTCATTTTTCCCCTGTCATAGGGCTTCCTGAAGAATGAAAAGGACAATGCCCTACTGTCTGCCATTGAAGAGTCCCGAAAGAGGGTAAGAAAACAAACTAAAATGTGCATGTATAAAGTTATAGGGCAGCAGTGTACATCAGGAGTGTGCAGGTCCCAGAAGGTCTGTTTCTTTTATCATATACCATGACTGTACTATCTTTTATAGTAACAGTTTCTCAAGCTCTTTTAAAAAAAGGTTAGTACTCAAAAGGATGACAAGTCAGAGTAGTCATTATATGTGACGTGATATTTTGCAAAAGCATTCCTGCAAGCTGCTGAAAGATTATTTACTAACGTGAGTTATTCTCTATTTGTTTCTGATGAGGATCAAAAGACAAAACCTTTCTAAAATATTCCAGTTACAGAGTAAGAGGTCTTTGGGTAGAGAGAAGAAAGGTTAGCTGTCAAGTTGGAGCAGCTTCCTAAGGAAAGTACACACCAGAAAGCAGTGGCTTTCTACAAAGGGAATATGAGTGAAGGAGAGCTCTGTTTTATTGTTATTTACTTAACCCTGATATGAAGTGAAAGGTTTTTATGTGTTATTTGTGTAGTTTGAAAGTAATAAAGTAAAAAAATGCTGCTTCTCAATGTGTTTTATTAAAATATTCTGAGAGGGTGAAAGTCCTCACTAGGAGTGATGTGAGGTGGGGCTGCCAAGGGCCCTGCCAGCTCTTTCAAGAAGGCATTTAAACGACTCATATTTAATTAATCAGAATGCAGTTTCCTAAAATTTTTCTAATTATATTGTTGGCAGTAGTACTTAGTCCTAGAAATAGAGAAGTTCATTTGATTAAGATTTTAAAATACTAAGATTTTTTGTTGTTTTTTCACACCCTGAGATTCTCACCAAAATTGATTCTCCTGCTATAAAGGACCAGTGGAATTAAATTAGGATTGTCAAATGCCTCCAAGCCTTAATAATCCATTTACCCTGCAGAATGTGTTTCTGGAATTGGCAGTCTCTGAATATTGTGCCATACTGAGACTAAATGTGCAGCCAGCCAAAACATTTAGGTAACATACCACAGTGCAAAATGTGTGCATATGTGTTCGTGAGGAAGACATTCCAGTGTTGAGTGTCAGCCTGGGGGAGACCTCTGACTTGTCTGGACACCAGGAGACTACTGCTGAGCAAGATCATTTTCAAATAGAAATGATTTGAGAATCAGCAGCTTCCTGGCATTTTGGTGGCAATTTCATGTTTGAATAACTTGCCAATGTCCTTGCTGAAATGCCAAGAAAACAAATTACAAAACCACAAATGTGTCCTGGCTTTTCCCATTTGGTGCATCCCAGAAAAAACAGAACAAGATTATTAGAACATATGCAGTGTTTCTAAAAGCCAGCAACAACTTAGTAATAATTGAGTATGAAAACAAAGCACATTGCCCCCTTCCCTGTATGAAAATGGGGTTTGATAGCTTCCCACCTGTTCTTAATTCAGTTGCCCATTTCTCACCCTGTCTTATTTTCTGAACTGTGTTCAAAGGAAAATATTTTCCACGCAATAACTTGAATGGTTTAGATTTACTTTATAATCCTTTCTTCACTATTTTGCCATTTTCTCTGTGTGTGTGTGTGTGTGTGTGTGTGTGTGTGTGTTCGTTTTAATTCTTAGGTCTCTGCATACCCTTTCAATTTATTCCTCTTTCAGACTTTTTTTTTTTTTTTTTTTTTTGGTGGGACTGGGGTTTGAACTCACTGCTTCACTCTTGCAAAACAAGTTCTCAACTGCTTGAGCCATGCCTCCAGTCCGTTTTGTGCTGGTTATTTTGGAGGTGGAGAGGTTTGAGGGGGTCATGAACTATTTGTCTAGGTTGGTTTCGAACCATGAGCCTCCCAAGGAGCTAGGATTATAGGTGTGAGCCACTGGCAACTGGCTCCTCCTAAGTTTCTTTGCTTTTCTGTCCCTCTTAGTCTCTGCTGGCCACCTTGCCTCAGACCCTCACTGCCCTCCTCTTCTCTTAGATCTTAGTTGAGTAACTGATTCTCCTTCATTACCGTCTTTAGTTACCATTCTTCTTTGTACCTAATCTAGTGATTCAGAGGCTGTTATGAACTGAATAGGCCAAAAACTGGCAGATGGGTGGCTGATCATCCCTGATTAGCCCACAAATTGAATGTTCCATTATCTCTAATGTAATTAAGATAAACTAGGGGGTAGTGTGGTCAAGGGAAGAAAATTTAATGTTGGCTGATTATTTTTAGTTGAAGCACCTTACCACACTATGAATGGAAGTACCATATTGTTCATTCAGGAGTTGTTTCTAACTAAATGAGTAGCCTCAGATATTTCTAAGGATTTAAGCCCAGAAAGTTTCCATTTTTCAAAGCCACTTAGTACTTCAAAGTACAAGAGTTCTTGGCACACTGGTGGGCAGCCTAGTAAACAGGATTATTAATTTCCACTACTGTCATTCTGCCTCTTACCTGGTGCTGAAAGTCTGCCCCCACTGCCATCACCCACAATGTCTGTGGGTGCTATGTTGTATTTTCTTTAATTGCCTTTACTACTCTGCCATTCTTTATTAGCCAGAGGACTTGTCCTTAAGAAAAACTCGTATATAGTGTCGTAGATTGGTGCCATAGCTTCAGATGTGCCTTCCTGTTATAAGCTCAGGAAGCTGTATAGTATACCAGCCATTTCTTACATCTTTATTTCTACCTGTGCTGGTCCTCATGCCACATGACACCCACCCACTCCCCAATGCTGAGAAAGGCTCATGACTGAGGAGGTGGTTGGTTGACCAGTAAGGAGAAAGAGTTTTGATGAAATTGTGGCTCACTTGTATACTCTTTCTGGGTCACTTCTAGGAAATTATCTCTTCCCCAATTCCCACCCACTCTTCCTATCCCTCATATTTCTGTGTTTAAAATGCATGGCTTTTGTTTTAAGTACTGTCATGTGGACAAAATGCAAGGGGTTTTCTCTGGGTAACTCAGGCTGACTGGCAGGAATGATCCATTATGCTTGACTCTTAGTCAGGTGGAAGATTGTTTTCAAAGTTAGTAATCTGTGTCTTCAGAAACATATTAGAAAAGGGTGCACAGGGTTACGACATTTTGAATACTGGTCCAAAGTCAACACATTTGTAGGAAGAGTATATTTGGTTTTTCTAACAGTTCCCCAAGCTCGTGTATGGTTATTATCAGTACAAATTATCCACATTGCCAAAAATAAAGCAGGCATTACTAATACTCCCTAGTAGGTGCTGCCTAATTAGATGCCAGTCTCATTGTAAATGTAATGGTTGTTTGAAACGTGGGCTTAAGCTTATGGGAAAACTGGTCTGCTGGTTTACGAATAATAGGCTGAGAATAGTCATTTTTCAGTATAGCCCTATAAGTCATTTTAATTTCCTCCTCAGAAGGTTTTTAGGAAAAGATGGTCTTCTTTTGTCTCTTCCTCCCTCCACCCCTTCTCTTTCTGCTTTGTGTGTTTGTGTGTGGTGTGTGTGTGTATGTGTGCATTTCTTGTGGCAGCTACCTGCAGCGTCACGAGTGGATGGTCGTAGTGAGGCTGCCAGATTTTTCAGTCATATTGAGTAGACTAGTAGGAAACTTAATCACAGAAGCCTATTTTTCTTTCACTCATTTTCTTCCTCCTATGAAAATATTAGTGATTCTTTAAAAATAAAAATATTGGGAGAATCTTTGGTCTTAGTTTTATCTTAGATGCTTGTTAAATCTTAAGACACAATTGATTTTGTAATGCATCACTGTTTTATATATTACAAAGAAAAAATACTTCTGTGGCATGCCTAATTTCAGGGGTCTCAAAAAGATGCTTGTCTTAAGTACATAGATGTGAAGCATCACTAATCATTAATAAAATGTGAATCAAAACTGTAGTGAGATACTGCTTCACTATTGAGGTAGTTATGGTTCCTATCAAAAAACCAGGAAATAGTGTTGGGTGAGGATGTAAAGAAATTGAAACCTTTTGGCACTGTTGGTGGGAATAAAAAGTGCTGCAGCCTTTGTGAATACAGTTTGTAGGTTCCTTAAAAAATTAAAAATAGTATTACTGTATGATCCCAGCAATCCGTATCTGAATTACATACTCAAAAGAGGGTTGGAGTTGTGGCTCAAGTGGTAAAGCACCTAGCAAGCATGAAGCCCTGAGCTCAAATCTTAGTACTGCAAACAAAACTATATACATACATACAAACACAACACACACACACACACACACACACACACACACACACACACACACACACACGTACTTAGAAGAATTGAAAGCAGGGACTTGAAAAGACATTTGAATGTCCATGTTCATAGCAGCATTATTCACAAAAGGAAGGAAATTATGGCACATGATACAACAGGGATTAGCCTTGAGGAAATTAACGCTAAACTAACTAAGCTAGTCACAAAAAGACAAATACTGTAAAAATTTGACTTGTATGAAATAGCTAGAGTAGTCAAATTTAGAGGCAATGTAGAATGGTGGTTGCCTGGGGCTGGGGAGAGAGAAAGGGTGAGTTACTTTTTAATAGGTACAGAGTTTCAGTTTTATAAATAAAACTGGGTGGTGGTGATGATTATACAACAGTGTGAATGTTTTTAATACCTTTGAACTGCACACTTAAAAATGGTAAATATTCTATTTTCCCACAGTTTAAAAGTTTTTTTAATGTCTTAGAATCAATGAAATAGGATATGTTGTAAGCAGTTGTCAGAAAATAAGGGATAATTTTTTAAAGTAGGTTGTTTTGCTCAACTTCTAGAGAAGTGGTAGATGGGTTGGGGGCACTTTGCTTTTCTTTTGGGTTTTAAAGGAAACCTTGATCTGTGTTTTTTTGTTTTGATCATTGCTTTCTGTTCCTCTCTGATAGACCTTTGGCATGGCTGAGGAGTACCATCGAGAGTCAATGCTGGTTGAGTGGGAGCAAGTGAAACAGCGAATTCTGCACACACTGCTGGCTTCAGGAGAAGATGCCCTTGACTTTACTCAAGAAAGTGAGGTATGTTGAATCAGAAGGATAAATCATTACTAATAAAAATATGACACAAAGAATGCTTGACTATTTCTAGTGACATTCTGGCATAGGTGATCAACTGTCCATGAAATCCTTTCTTTGTTTGGCTGTCAGGATTCCATATTTGCCTGAATTTCCTCCAACATGTCTGGCTGCTTTTGCTCAGTCTCCTTTGAGAATTTTCCTCAGACTCTCTGACCTCTAGATGTTTGGGTGTCCTGGTATTCAGTCCTTTACCTTTTCTCTTTTCTCTCTTAATCACTGCCCTATTGATTTTTATTTGGGCTTATCGCTTTTTATTTGGCCTTATGTACCAGCTATGTGTGGAAAACTAAAATTTACATCTGCAACCCTGAACCCCACACATATTTATCTAGCGACTTTCTTGGTTTTCTATAAGCATCTCTGGCTAACTAGATCCAGAATTGACTCATGATAGCAGTCCCCTCAACCCACCTTCTCTTCTCACAGATCCCCATCTTTATAAATGGTAATTCCAGGTTTTCACTTGTTCAGATCAAAAATCTCATTTATTTTTGTCCTCTCCTTGCCCATCTCACACCCAGTCTCTTTCACATGCTGACAAATTCAGTTAGCCCTACTCTTGAACCATACCAAGAGTCCAACCACTTCTTTCCACCTTCACTATTAATATTCTGGTCCAAACTGCCATCATCTCTTACTCAAATTATTGAACTAGCCTCTAGCTAGTAGTTTCACTTTTCTATTGTTTTGTAATATTTCAGACCTTAGTGGATGAAAACAAGCTTTTAGCTTGACTGGGTATATCTGGATCAGGGTCTTTTGCAGCTACAATCAAGGTGTTGACTGAGGCTGCACTTATTAAAGGGCTTGACTCAGGAAGGATCCTCTACCAGAGTCACCCAGATGGCTATGGAGAAGCCTTAGGTCCTCTCAGGCTCTTAGCTGGAGACGTTAATTAATTCCTTATTAAATGGGCCTGTCCATGTGCTGCTCACAACATAGTAGCTTGCTTGTCCTAGAGCAAGAGGAAGGGATCCAAAATAGAGCTAAAACACCTCCAAGACAAAAGTTATACTCTTTCAATAGTATAATCTTCAAAATCATATCCCAATACCTCTCTGATTTATAAGTGAGTCACTCAAGCCAGCATACCATGAGGTGGGGATCCATGGGGCCATTTTACAGGCTGACTACCATACTGGTTTCCCTGCTTTTGCTCTTCTACCATGCTTTAGTTTCAGATAGGTTAGATTTCTTTCAGCACTCTACTCTGGAGAACCTTCCAGTGGCATTCATCCCACTTGGAGTGAAAGCCAAAGTTTTTACATGACTTATTAGTTCTTGCATGATCTGGTCTCATTAGCTAAGTTCATCCTATTCTACTCTCCCTATGTTCCTGCTGCCCCAGCCAAACAGGGTACTTACAGGTTCCCCTTACAACCTGGCAGACTTGGTGCTGCTGAGGGTCCTCTGGGTTTCCTTCTGCTTCTGCCTAGGAAAAAATCCCCCAAATAGCTGCATGGCTCTCTCTCTCTCACTTCTTTCCAATATTGACCTAGTGCCTTCTTAGTGAGACTTCCAGGGCCTTTATATCTGAACTCCAAACCAACCCCTTCTCATTCAACACTTTTTCTATTCTTTTTTTTTAATGTATTTTTAATACTTCCTTTCACGTGCCATAGTATATGCTTTATGTCTTTATATGTATATTGTCTTTTTCTCACAGATTTTAAGCTCTATGAAGGTAAGGATTTTGTTTTCTTTATTCCTATATATCCAGGGCCTAGAAGAGGCTCTGGAGCATAGTAGGTGTTCATTAAGTATTTGGCTCTAACTGTGCTAATTGAAGCATTAGGGTAAAAAGTATTAGTTGAAAAAATGAGGTGGGTATGTTGAGTATTATTAATTGCCAGTGTTGATTGTTAATAGTGTCAACTTGAGAATTTTCTCCTCTTTTTAAAATTTAAAAAATAAAGATAGTCAGCTGGGCTTGGTGGCATGTCTATAATCCCAGCTACTCAGGAGGTGGAGAGAGGGTGATCTAAGTTTAAGGCCAGCCTGGGCAGTTATCATGAGACCATATCTGAAAAACAAACTAAAAACAAAAGGACTAGGGGCGTGGCTCAAGTGCTTTACCACTTGAGCCTCTAAGTTCAATCCCCCATACCACCAAAAAAATTAAAAAATAAAAGAATAATATAGTTGCATAATTCAAGAATCAAAGAACCCTGTTCCCTTCCCCCTTTGTAATCTGTAGATAATCATTGTTACTGCTTTCTTGTGTATATTTCTAGCATTTCTTTATATAAACAGAAGTATGTGGGAGTTCTTACCCCTGCACCTTCTTACATAAAAGCTGAGGACTGGAGATGTGGCTCAGTGTCAGCCTTTGCCTAGCATGGGCAAGACCCTGAGTTTGATTCCTAGTGTGGGGTTGGGTGGGTGAGGGTGTATGTAGACAATGTGCTCTGTTCTACATCTTTCTTGTTTCCCACATTGCATCCTGAAGATCTTTCCTGAGAAGAATTTGGGAGTTTTATCTAGTATCCAGCAGGAAAAAGTGTCTTGCTTGATGTCTGCCTTTGTGCCTGCCACACATTCACCATTCTTGCCGGGGTGGAGGGGTGGCCCTGGATTTCAAATACTGCTTCAGCAATGGCTAGTTCAGAGGCCTTATCCAAGTTCTTCAACCCTGCAGACCTTCAGAGCCTTCACTGGTGAAATAAGATCATCAGGACTGATCATCAATAAAGACTCCTAATGGCATTCCTTACTATTGTCTTTTTAAAAAGTAGTTTCAGATAATTTGGAGGTAGAAACTTAAAATTTTAATGTTATAATAATGACAGTGTTAACATTTTTAGACAGTATTATCAGGCTTCCTGGTAAGTCTTTTTTCCCAGAACTTGTTTCATGGGTACCTAGCATCCTTTTGTACATTCAAATAGGAAAACTGAGGCTAGAGAAATATATAGTATGCTGATGTGCCCCAAGACTGTTGGCTTCTAGACTATTGCTCTGTTGAAGTCTGGGTCACATATGGCTAGATTGGCAGTTTGTGGTACCTGTAAGGTAACTTCTCACATCTTGCATCTACACATTTGTCCCTGATTTAAATATTAGCTTTCTATTAAATTAGTCCCCAAATAAATAGATGCCAAAATCGTATGTCTTGGGAAATTGTTCTTTAAGGACCCTGTTCCATATTTCAGAGATTTCAGACTCAAATCAGTCTTTGAGAAAGAAGAACTGATATATAAGGCTCTTAGCCAGCTTAATGTTTCTTTCCCAGTTCTTTGTGAATCTTGGCAAATAACTAGAATAACTCATGGTTTTATAAACTTCATTTTTAAAAAATGGTGTTAATAGGTTGTGTTCTGTATAGGGATTTGGAAGTAATTATAAATTACAAGTGTGATATTCTCTCTTGATTGCTCTTCTCTCAAAAATAGACTGGTCTGTTTAGTAGATTGTTCTTCCTTGACCTCTAGTCCCCTTGGAAAGGAAGCATTATCCATGCTGTGTTTTTCTCTGTTGTGACACCTGGTAGAGTGAATAACATTGCTGTACAAGTTGGCAAATGATATAAACAAGTCTCTTCAGGTTATCCCGAAAATTTCATTTTCTGGAAACTTGTAAGTTTTTTACTTTTGATGTTTTGAACTGTTTTCTTGAGTTATAACACTTATACAGAAATGTACATAAATCATAAATACATAGCTCAATAAATTATCACAAATGGAACACACCTAAGTGAAGAAACAGAACACTGCCAGCAACCCTGAAATCTTCTTTGTGCCCCTTTCTGGACTCTATTCTGACTTCTCATTTCATGGATTCATTTTGCCTATTTTTGTACTTTATGTAAATGGAGTCATACAATATGAGTTTGTTTCTGGCTTCTTTTTTTTTTGTTTTATTATTCATATGTGCATACAAGGCTTGGGTCATTTCCCCCCCCTGCCCCCACCCCCTCCCTTACCACCCACTCCACCCCCTCCCTCTACCCCCTACCCCCTCAATACCCAGCAGAAACTATTTTGCCCTTATTTCTAATTTTGTTGTAGAGAGAGTATAAGCAATAATAGGAAGGAACAAGGGTTTTTGCTGGTTGAGATAAGGATAGCTATACAGGGCATTGACTCACATTGATTTCCTGTGCGTGGGTGTTACCTTCTAGGTTAATTCTTTTTGATCTCACCTTTTCTCTAGTTCCTGGTCCCCTTCTCCTATTGGCCTCAGTTGCTTTTAAGGTATCTGCTTTAGTTTCTCTGCGTTAAGGACAACAAATGCTAGCTAATTTTTTAGGTGTCTTACCTATCCTCACCCCTCCCTTGTGTGCTCTTGCTTTTATCATGTGCTCAAAGTCCAATCCCCTTGTTGTATTTGCCCTTGATCTAATGTCCACGTATGAGGGAGAACATGTGATTTTTGGTGTTTTGGGCCAGGCTAACCTCACTCAGAATGATGTTCTCCAATTCCATCCATTTACCAGCGAATGATAACATTCTGTTCTTCATGGCTGCATAAAGTTCCATTGTGTATAGATACCACATTTTCTTAATCCATTCGTCGGTGGTGGGGCATCTTGGCTGTTTCCATAACTTGGCTATTGTGAATAGTGTGTTTCTGGCTTCTTTTGTGTAACATTCTGTACACTGTTGCATGTAGTTGTGAGCTATTCATTTTAGAGGTTCAGCAGTGTAATTGCAATTTCTTTGCCCACTCTAGTATTGATGGACATTTGGGTAGATTCCAGGCTTGGCTTTTATAAATAGTGCTATTATGAACATTCTTGTATCTTTCTTAGTGAACACATGTTTTCATCTTTATTGGGTATACCAGAGAGGAATATTGCTGGGTCAGAGGGTATCCGTGTGTTCAGCTTTGGGGCTGAAATTGTAGCTCAGTAGGCACTTGCCTAGCTTGTATGAGGCTCCGAGTTTGATCCTAGCATCATGAAAAAGACAAAAAAATTGTGTTCAGTTTTAATAGATACT